TCAGCTACAAACAAAAAAGACATTTTTCATTTATTGTCAAAAGTCTACAAATGGCTATCAACTTCTTAATTCAAATAAATTAGGTTTATATGCACAACAGTTACGTGTTTTTGCTCTTCTAAAGAATTGAGCCTTGGGTTGGGAAGGTGGCTCAGTGGTAGAGTGCTTGCTTTGCATGCCTGAGGCCCTGGGTTCGATTCCTCAGCACCACATAAGAAAAAAGAAAAAAGCCGGAAGTGGCGCTGTGGCTCAAGTGGTAGAGCGCTAGCCTTGAGCTGAAGAGCTGAGGGACAGCGCCCAGGCCCAGAGTTCAGGCCCCAGGACCGGACCCCCCTCCCCCCAAAAAAAGAATTGAATCTTAAAAATATTCTTATGCCTATTAGTCATGGCCAGTAGACACATGAAGAAATGTTCAACCTCCCTAACCATAAAAGAAATGCAAAACAAAACAACTTTGAGATATTACCTCACCCCACTTAGAATGTCTATAATGAAGAACTCTAATAACAGATGCTGGAGGGGATGTGGACAGAAGGGAACCTTACTGCATTATTGGTGGGACTGTAAACTTGTTGAACCACTTTTGAACATAGTATGGAGGTTCCTCAAAGACTCCACAGAGAGCTCCTATATGACCCAGCAATCCCACTTTTGGGCATTTACCCAAAAGATCACAAACAAGACCATACTAAAGCTAACAGCACAACTCTGTTTATTGCAGCATTATTTACCATAGCTAAGATATGGAATCAACCCAGATGCCCCTCAGTAGATGAATGGATCAAGAAAGTATGTATATATACACAATGGAGTTCTATGCCTCCATCAGAAAGAATGACATTGCCCCATTTGTTAGGAAATGGAAAGACTTGGAAAAACTTATATGAAGTGAAGTAAGTCAGGCCCAAAGAAACTTAGGTCCCATGGTTTCCCATATTTGCAATAACTATTATAGTCTGAGACAAACAGAAAGTTTCAAATAAGTTTCTGTTAGGCAAAATGAACCCCAAGATAAAGATTCATGTTTTTTTTCTTTCTTGTGATTGTTTCCAACATATTTGTAAGATGATTTCATTGTTGCTTTGTATGTCCCTCCCCCATGGTATAACCCCTGCCTTCACAATATTTGATGTTGATATAATTGGTGGAGGGAAAAGGAAAAAACAAACTCTTTAAATACGGATACAGGTGGACCCATTGCAACAGGTCGTTAAATCGAAAAATGAACTTTATAACTTTGGTGGTGGGGGGAGGAGGATTGGGTGAGGGGGCAGGGGGAGGATGGGAAGGGATGGGAGGGGGAAACAAAGGAGGAGGCTACAATGCTTGATAAGAAATGTACTCATTATATTGCCCATGTAATTGTAACCTCTCTGTACAGTATTTTCACAATAAATTTTTTTTAAAAAAACATTCTATAAAAACAAAAAAACAGAAAAGAAAAATGAATTTTACAACTTTGGCAGGGGGTAGAGGGGTAGAGGAGTAGGGGACTGGGGGGGTGGTAAGGGAGTGGGGGGTGGAAAGGGGAAGGGATGGTATGAGGAAACAAAGGAGGAGGCAACAATGCTTGATAAGAAATGCCCTCACTATCTTGCCCATGTAATTGTAACCCCTCTCTATGGTATTTTCACAATTTTTTTTAAAAAAAAGAGGGGCTGGGAAACTGGCTCAGTGGTAGAGCGCTTTCCTTGCATGCATGAGGCCCTGGTTCAATTCCTCAGCACCACATAAGCAAAAAGAAAAAAAAGCAGGAAGTGGCACTGTGGCTCAAATGGTAGAGCGCTTGCCTTAAGCTGAAGAGCTAAGGGACAGCGCCCAGGCCCAGAGTTCAGGCCCCACAACCAGACTCCCCCCCCCCCCAAAAAAAAAGAAAATGTGGTATATATGCATAATGGAATTCTATGCCTCCATCAGAAAGAATGACATTGCCCCGTTTGTTAGGAAATGGAAAGACTTGGAAAAAATTATATTAGGTGAAGTAAGCCAGGCCCAAAGAAACATAGGTCCCATGGTGTCCCTTATTTGCAATAACTAGTATATGTCTGGAACAAGCAGAAACACTCAGATAAGTTGATGTTAGGTGAAATGAACCGCAAGATAAGGACTCAAATGGTTTTTCTTTCTTGCTATTGTTTCTAATATATTTATAAGATGATTTCTTTGTTGCTTTGTATGTCCCTCCTCCATGGTATAACCCCTGTTTTCACTGTATTTGATGTTGGTATAATTTGTGGAGGGGAAGGGAAAAAAGAAATTTTTAAATAGGGATACAGGTGGACCCATTGCAACAATGAGATGTACAAGACGTTATGTTGAAAAATGAACTTTACAACTTTGTAGGGGGGACAAGACTGGGGGGGGGGGGAGAACTGGGAGGGATGGGGGATGGGGAATGGGGACAAGATGGGAAGAGATGGGAAGGGGAAACAAAGGAGGAGGCAACAATGCTTGATAAGAAATGCACTCATTACCTTGCCCATGTAATTATAACCCCTCTGTATGGTATTTTCACAATAAAAACTAAAAAAAAAAAAAAATGAATACTCCTCAAGCCCTAGCTAGGCCATTAGAGGAGGCCTCATGCCTTCGTTACACTATTAGAGTAGGCCTTCTAACTAGGAATACAGATGATGTGAGAAAGAATAGTTCTGCAAACTAAGAACAGCATATTGTATTCAGGGTCACCTAAGAAACAAGTAACTACAAAAACATAATCAGACAAAATGGAGCATCATGCCATGGGGAAACATGACAGAGCTACTCAATTTCCAAGAGACAGAAAGAGGACTGAGAAGAAGTGTGTGCTCACTCAAAGATCACTTAATACAGCACTTCCGTGCTACACCTCCTTCAAAGACACACCTTCAGTGATCTGCTTCTTGGAGTTCATCCCCAGAGTCAACTCCTTTCTCCAAGTCTCCATCTTTTCTTGTATCAACAGGAATGATGGACCTGCCCTCACCATCGCTTCCCTGTGGGAAGAGGGGAGAGAGGAGGGGCACTTCCTGGCACTGAGGGAGTCCCCGTGATGGCACCCACAACAAGACACATCAGAACAGGTAAATGGAGGTCCACTCGGCCATGCCACTGTAGCAGGTGCAGTGCTGGGTTGGGAAAGGCAGCAGTGAATGTGGCTCCAGGTCCATGACCACCAGAGGACACAGTGGAACTGACCAACCCCGGGGCCATACTGGGGAAGGGTAGCAAGAAGGCCTCTGTGGCACGCCTCCCCCCCATTCATTCTCCAGAGGGCTCTAAGGCACCATGCATCCAGGTTTCTATAGCTCTGCAAGTGTGCATATGAGTCCCCTCACCCAGCTTCCAGTGCTTTCACATATGTTTCCGGTCCCTTGAGCCCCGCTTCTGGTCCTGTGTGTGTGTGTGTGTGTGTGTGTGTGTGTGTGTGTGTGTGTGTGAAGTGGCCCACTTACCTTGAACCAGCCGGTGCCTGGGAGGGCATCAAATACATGTGTGGTCACACACCCACATGGTCTACGATGATGGAGATCCATGTAGCCAGGCCAAAGACACCCCTGGGTTTCCCATCGCAGGGGCAGGTGTAGCACCAATTGCGGGGAGGACAGCAGCGAACACAAACTGGGTCCTGAGACCATCCGTGGATGCAGGGGAACCAAGCAACCTCAGGCCGGAGCCAAGGGAGGATGCATGGCAGACTCTGAGCATCCTGCTTCCTTCTTGGGTGGCCACTGTGGTTGTGTGTGTTCAGGCACATCCGGGTCTCCATGAGTGTGTGCGTGTGTGCATGTGTGTCCCTCACTAGCGTGCATGCTTATGTGCATAACACATACATACTCTCACCTTTGTGTGCACGTGCGCCCCTCCCTCACATTTCAGGCTGGGTTTCTTAATCTCCCAAGAGGTTGGAGATTAACAAAAGGATTGAGAATGTTGCTTAGTGGTACAGTGCTTGCCCTAACATATGCATGAAACCCTGGGTTCGATTCCTCAGTACCACATAAACAGCAAAGAGCTGAAAGTGGCACTATGGCTCAGGTGGTAGAGCGCTGGCCTTGAGCACAGAGAGGCTCAAGGCCCTGTGTTCAAGTCCCAGGATTGCAAAAACAACAACAACAAAGCTCACTGGAAAACGGGGTACAAAAACTATTTTATAGATAGTGCTCCAAGCCAGCAGGATGCCATGGTAGACCCCCCCCCCCCTCACTGGATGCTTCCAGCAGAAACTGGTAAAGTCTCACCTCAGGTCTGGGTTACAGTGATCGTGGGTCCTCCAGCCTCTCAGGAGATATAGAAGCCCAGCCTGGAAGTGTGAAGGAGGGGTGCGCATACATGGTGAGAGTATGCACGAGCGATGCAAATGAGCATACACCCTGGTGTGGGACACTCATGCACGCACGCACATGCACGCAGACTTGGATGAGCCTGGACCCACGACCAAAGAGCCCACCCAAGAAGGAAGTGGGAAGCTCAGAGTCTGCCCTGCATCCTCTCCCAGCTCCGGCCTGAGGTTGCTTGGTTCCACTGCATCTACTGACAGTCTCAGGACTGTTTTCGCTGCCATCCTCCCCCAACTGGTGCTGAACCTGCCACTGCTCCAGGAAACCCAGGGATCTCTTTGCCTGGGCTTCATGGATCTGCTTCTTCATAGTCCGTGTGGATGTGTGGCTGCATGCCTTTGATGCCCTCCTGGACTAGGGCTGGTTCAAGGTAAGTGGGCCACTTCACCGCACCCCACCCCACCCCCCTACCCACCGCGGTGGAACTGACCACCCTGGGGCCATACCAGGGAGGGAAGGCAGCCAGGCCTTTGAGACCCTCACCTTCATTCTCTGTGGGCGTCCAGGTCTGGAAGTGCGCACGCGCGACCCCTCACCCAGCTTCCCGTCATTTCCCGCATGCTTCCTGTCAGCGGCTGGGGTGGGGGGTGCGGGTTGGGGTGGGGAGGGTGAAGTGGCCCACTTACCTCGAGCCATCCCGAGCCAGGGAGGGCATCACACCATGTGCGGTCACATGTCCACATGGACTACGAGGATGGAGATCCACGCAACCAGGCCGAAGACACCCATGGGTTCCCATCCCAGAGGCAGGTACAGCACCAGTTGGGGAAGGATAGCAGTGAACACGTCCTGGGGCCTGAGACTGTTGGGGGAAACATTGGAACCCAGCAGCCTCAGAGAGGATGCAGGACAGACTCCAAGCATCCTGCTTCCTTCTTGGGTGGCTGTATGGTTGCCGGAGTCCAGGCTCATCCGGATCTGCGTGTGTTTATGTGTGCACGCGCACGTGCATGGGTGGCCCTCAGAATGTATGTGCATGCGCATTGCACATGCTTACCTTTCACCGTTATGTGTATGTGGCACGCCCCTCTCTCACACTTCTGGGCTGGGCTTCTTAGTCTCCTGAGAGGCTGGAGGTTAAGGGCTGCAAATGTGGTTTAGTGGTACAGTGCTTGCCTAGCACATGCATGAAACCCTGGGTTCTATTCTTCAGTACCACATAAACAGCAAAAAGCTGGAAGTGGCACTATGGCTCAGGTGGTAGAGTGCTGGCCTTGAACACAGAGAGGCTCAGGGACAGTGCCCAGTCCATGAGTTCAAGCCTCAGGACTGGCAAAAAAGAAAATTAAGTGAAGTAAGCCAAGCCCAAAGAAACATAGGTCCCATGATTTCCCTTATTTGCAATATCTAGTATATGTATGAGTCACACAGAAAAGTTCAGATAAGGTGATGTTAGGAAAATGAACCCTAAGATATGTATTTTAAATGTTTTTTTTTTCTTTCATGCATTTGTTTCTAACGCACTTATAAGATTATTTCTTTGTTGCTTTGTATGTCCCTCCCCCACAGTATAACCCCTGCTTTCACTGTATTTGATGTCGGTATAATTTGTGGAGGGGAAGAGGAAAAACAAGTCGTTTAAATAAGGATACCAGTGGACCTGTTGCAACAATGAGAAGTACAAGATGTCATGTCGAAAACGAACTTTACAACTTGGGAGGGAGGTTTGGTGGGGGGGGAGGGAGGATGGGAAGGGATGGAAAGGGTAAACAAAGGAGGAGGCTACAATGCTTGATAAGAAATGTACTCACTATCTTGCCGATGTAATTGTAACCCCTCTGTACAGTATTTTCACAATAAAAAAAAAATTTAAAAAAATTTTAAGAGTTCCAGGAAGATGGCAGAGGAGAAGCTGGAGGCAAAACAAGCTCTCGCATAGAAAGCAGTTTTAGAGTTCAGTGAACAGTCCTAAGCCAGAGAATCACACCAAGTGTGCCATCACAGGACAGAGAGTTAGGCCAGAGAGGGAAAATCCAGGCAAGGAGACACTTCTGAGCTCTTGCCAGCTGCTGCCGCTGTGGCGACAGCGGCGGTGGTGGTTGTGGTACCACCATACCTGAAACAGAGAGAGTCTGGGACAAAAGAGCCAGATGCGGTGGGCGAGCGGATTCTATTCAACACCAGCAAGAACCGACAAGGAGCGGACATCTTCATCCTGCAGTTCGCAGACCAGAGACGACCCAGGAACCAAGACCAGGCGTGAGTAGAAGCCCGACATCCTCACTCCTCCTCAGGGAGCAGAGGAGAGAAGGCCACCCCTCCCGCCCCAGCACCGGAGATCTCCATCTTGGATACAGACAAAGCTCAGCGGAGCTGCTAGCTCCAACTCAGGCCTTGGAATAAAACTAGGGTCATTTAGCAGGTCACAAGAACCTAATGGCGTGACCTGCCAGACTCAGCTCCACCCAGGGAAAAGTCACCCAGTTCGGGCGTCAGCCCTAGAAGTGGCTTTCTTCACCAGGTAATCAGAGCCAGAGGCTGCCCCTCCCTTTAGCAGCCTCGACAATCAATTGAAATTCAGTAAACAGAAAACTTGAGAGTGGCTCCAGGCTGGGCTCTGTGAGTTTCTCACAAACTAGCCCCCGGGAAAAGCTACTGTTTGCTGAAAGGTCTCAACTCTAGCCAGAACCTAGCCTCATCACAGCATCTCCAAACTTGAGGAAAAAGCCATCTCCCTCTTTTGTGATACTCAAAGCACACCCCCCTCCCATTGAACTAACTTGGGAGGAGGATCGAAAAATCCTGGGTAAAGCAGAGCATTTTTCTGCCTGTCCAAACAAACTGACTTAAGAAACCAACCAAGCCACAAGACCTCAAGCAGACCAGAGACTCCAACCAGAGGCTGATTACAGACACAAGGGAGATACAGGATTTTTCCCAACACTCCCAAAAAAATCAAAGAACTTTTCTTTTTTTTTTTTTCCTCTTCTTTTTTTTATACCTTGTACAAAAAAAATCTTTTTTCTTTTCTAAAACGTTTTCTAATTTTTAATTTTTACCTTTTTTGATAAAAAATGTTTTCTAGTAACTTTTTTCCCCCTTATAATCTTTATTTTAGGGATACATGTGTGTGTGCGTTTTTCTTTCTTTTTTCTTTCTTCTTTTAAAAACAAATTTTCTTTTTGTTTTTGCTTAGCGCGACTGAACTTCTGATCTTTTTTTCTTTCTTCCTTATCCTTCTCACCTTTTCCTCTCTTTTGTTCTTTTCTATGGGACTAAATTGTTGTTCTGCACATCCTCAGATAAACCCGTAGTTGACTATTAGACCCTATCGCCCATTGTGTACACACTTAATCCACAAATTTATTACTCAATTCAAAACTTCTGAGACTTAAATTCCTTAATTGCAATACTACTTCTTTATACCTATATAATATTTTAAGTATTTTTATTTTTAAATTTTTCACATCTCCTTTATATCCCTCCCCTTCTCTCATTATATTCACATTCTTTGAATAGTTTGTTCTCGAATCTGAACATTATTAATTTTTATTTTTCTATTTTTTCTGGTCTCTTTTTTTCCCTTTCTCTTTCTTCTTGTTTTCTCTCTCTCTACTTTCATCCTATCCAACCTATTTCCTGCTTTGAGAATAGGACTTAGTTAACTCTCCCTGTACCTTCCCACATCACTCTATTCCTATTTTTTACCCACATCTCTCCCTAACCCTAATAATTTCTGGTTTTCCAAATTCTTCTTTGCGGTTCCTAGCCCATTAATATATAGTTGTTTGATGTTGAATAGAGGTATCTGTTGAACTAGATTGTATCTGAAGACTATTGACTATGCAAATTCAGACTTTGGTTGATGCTTGCCTTAAGTTAGTGTTCTAGCACAAAACTGGTGTTACTTTCATCCCAAATGGGCAGAGTAAGCCAGAAAACCACAAGAAAAATGGCAAGTCTGGGTATCTCTACTCCCACTCATGATAATCAGGGGACAGAACAGATAATGAATAATCCAGAGGAGAGTTCCCAAATAGCGCTACAAACACTGCTGGCAAACATGATAAATGAAAAGACTGAAAACATACCAAGAACTCTGTATGAGCGTGATAGGGAGAGAGAGGAGGCAAACAAAAGGTCAATGCAGGAAAAGATTGAAAACCTACAAAGGACTCTGTATGAGCATGAGAGGGAGAGAGAGGAGACAATCTAAAGGTTTATACAGGAATATCATGAGCGTGAGGAAGCTACTCAAAAACTGATACAGGATTTGTGTGAGCAGCTTGAGAATACTCAAAGAGAAAGGCAGGAATGGTGTGAACAGGCTGAGAACACTCAAAGAGAACTACAAGAATGGCATGAACGGGAGGAAGCTAAGCAAAGAGTAATACAGGAATTGAGAGAGCAGGATGAGAATACACAAAGATCACTAAAGACATTCATGGGATCCATTAACAAAGAGCTGAAGGAAGTCAGGGAGACCACAAAGGGAATGCTGAATGGAACCAAACAAAAGGAATGGGAATCCAAGGAAACCATAACCAATCAACTAAGTGATTTGAGAATAAACACTGAACACCAAATTAAGGAAGTAAAGAAGTCCATACAAGATCTAAAACAAAGCTTCAACAAAGAATTTGAAGTCATCAAAGCTGACCAATTAGAAGTAAAAGAAATAAAAAACAAAGTAGAAAGTCTTGACAGCAGGTTAGACCATGCAGAAGATCGAATCTCGGGAATTGAAGATGGCCTAGATATTATAGAGAAAGAACATACAACCATCCAAGACAAGTCCAAGAAATATGATAGATCTATCCAACACTTGGAAGACAACATCAGAAGGCCTAATCTAAGGATAATGGGTGTAGAAGAGCACCTAGAAACAGAAGTTAATGGTCTAGGAAATTTGTTTAACAGGATCCTAGCAGAGAACTTCCCAAACATGCAAAAAGATAGGCCTATTCAGATAGAAGAAGCTTTTAGAACTCCAAATAGACCAGATCAGAATAGGACATCCAACCTTCACATTATAATCCACACAGGATCAACTCAGAACAAGGAAAAGATCCTTAAAGCTGTCAAGGAGAAAAGGGTAATCACCTATAAAGGGAAACCAATTAGAATCACCTCAGATTTCTCAGCAGAGACAATCAAAGCAAGAAGAGCCTGGAATGATGTATGCCATGCCCTAAAAACAAACAACTATCAACCAAGAATACTGTACCCAGCTAAACTCTCCTTCATAACTGAAGGCCAAATAAAAACCTTCCATAGCAAAGAAAAATTGAAACAATACATCTCCACCAAACCAGCCCTACAAAAGATTCTTAAAGATGTCCTACACATAGAAAACCAACAAGACCACAATAAAGGCCAAGAAACTGCACCCAAAATGAGAATCCAAGAACCATAGGAAGAACCCAGTGTTCGCAACCCCCAAGAAGGTGGATAACATGGCAGGAACTCCCAAATACCTCTCAGTCCTATCTCTTAATGTTAATGGACTGAACTCTCCAATTAAGCGACATAGACTGTCTAGTTGGATTAAAAAACAAGACCCTTCTATCTGCTGCCTTCAGGAGTCACATCTTGCCTGTAAAAACAAACACATTTTCAATGTTAAAGGCTGGAGCAAAATCTACCAAGGAAATGGCCCCCATAAACAGGCGGGAGTTGCAATCCTAATATCAGATAAAATAGACTTCAAATTAAAATTCCTGAGAAGACATAAAGAAGGCGCTACATACTAATTAAGGGATCTCTCCTTCAGGAGGATATTACAATTCTAAATATCTATTCGCCA